TTGCCCCAAATAGGAAAGAAGTAGCAATATAAAACTGTCTCTCCACCCATTTTCCCCAGTGTTTTCCTTCCAGTTAAATGCCATGAATTTGGATGGAAGTATCATATCAAGAAGAAAGAGGGATATTCAGAGAAATAAAACCCAGAAGAATAACTGTCATATAAATTCTTAAACCTAAAAATATGAGAGTGGAGTCATAAAACTGAGGTCCTACCCTCATTTGCTATTCACCATGTGACCAGGTAAAGTTGCTGAACTTTGGGTGTGGTACTTTCCTAAGAGCAAAGTAAATTATACTTCTAAATATTCATTTCAAGTCAACTCATTTGTAGCACACAGAAAAGTCAGATAGATCTGGGTAAGCAGCAAAAGTTAGTAATGAATGGTACAAGCAACACTGTATCCTCAAATCCAAGAAAAACCAGTAAAGATGAGTCATTTAATAATAAGGTTTGCAAAGAAAGCTATTGTTTAAAAAGAAACACAGAAATAACAACAGTAACCACTGTGGAAATGTTGATCACTAATAATTTTCCAAGAAAATAATGAAAAATAAGTGCGCCATAATAATTAAAATAATTAAAAATAACACCTCCAACAAGGAAAAAAGTTAACTGTACCCACATACATAGTTTCATCAACAGATTGACTGCATTCCTGGACTGCTGCTTCCACCACAGATCGTTCAATCATGTTTGATGACACTGAAAAGATAATTTCAAAGTCAAAATTTAAAAACCAAAAATTAGTTCTGTCCATAGACAGCTCTTTCCCCAAAAATAATTTGCAAATATTAACACTGGGATTCTCATTACACAGTTTTTAGAGAAAAATAGTGTTAGGTGAGAACAATAACAAAAGCCTTATCTCAAATACCTCAACCTTCCACACTCAAAGTTACAATACCTTAATATACAGTCAAATGCCTTAATTTTCTAAGCACCATTTAGTTATAAGAACATTTCTGAGCCAGGCTTGGTGGCTCACACCTATAATCCTAACACTTTGAGAGGCTGAGGCAGGAGGATGCCTTAAGCCAGGAGTTTGAGACCAGCCCAGGCAACATGGTGAAACACCATCTCTACAAAAAATACAAAACTTAGCTGAGTGTGGTAGCACATGCCTGTAATCCCAGATACTCAGGAGGCCAAGGTGGGAGGATCATCTGAGCCCACGGAGGTGGAGGCTGCCATGAGCTGTGATCACACCACTGGCACTCCAGCCTGGGCCATAGAGTGAGATACCGTCTCCAAAAAAAAAAAAAAAAAAAAAAAAAATTCCTAAACTCCCAGTTTTAATAAGGTTACATTAGTGTAACTTTATCATAACTGCTCTGTTTTAATGAGCATCATAATAACAATAGTAACAATAGCAGCTACCACTTATTAAGCATTGAGTAAATGTGTGGCACCATGCTCAGTACTTGATTTACAAGCATTATTCCATTAGGTAGATGTCCTATAAGACTGATGTTAATATGCCCATATCTTATAGATAGGGAAAATACAACTTTGAGAGGTTGAAAAATTTACCCAAAAACTAGAAAAGATAGAGAGCAACACAAACCCAGGCCTGATTCCAGAGTGGACCCTTTTTTTTTTTTTTGAGATGGAGTCTTACTCTGTTGCCCAGGCTGTAGTGCAGTGGCACAATCCTGGCTCACTGCAACCTCCACCTCCCAGGTTCAAGCAGTTCTGCCTCAGCCTCCCAAGTAGCTGGGACTACAGGCGCATGCCACCACTCCAGGCTAATTTTTTGTATTTTTAGTAGAGATGGGGTTTCACTGCGTTAGTCAGGATGGTATGGATCTCCTAACCTCGTGATCCACCCACCTCGGCCTCCCAAAGTGCTGGGATTACAGGCGTGAGCCACCGTGTCTGGCCCAGAGTGGGCTCTTTTAACTGCTTTGATATGTTGTCAGGCAAAATACCATGTACCATGTTAAATCAATGTATAACAGGGACAACTATCATTTTCTAAATTTTCAACTGTAAAGGAATTTTTTAAGCAAAGGTATACGTAAAATTCTGCCTTTAGGAATGAAAATGACATATAATAACAATTTATCCTATATCATGGAATATGTTTCTTCCTATATAATTGAAGAGACTAGCATCTATATAACATTAAGAGTGAACTCAGTACTTTTCAGCCTTTTGACTAAGATCAGGTGGAGAGTGAGACATACCCACTTCTATCCTCAGGGTGCTATAAATATCAAGCCTCTTCTTTGCAGGCCCATGCTTGTGGTATGAAGTTAAGTATTTAACAGAAAGGTCCCTGAATTCCTGTGGCATTGTGGCAGTGGCAGGAGGAAATATGGCGACACAGTTTTACTGACTGGCTGAATAGAGGTCTCTCAGAAAACTCTCCCAAGTATCCAGCTGAAATGGACTGCCAATCATAAAACAGTGGAGCAGAAGTTTAGTTCATGGATTGGTGGCCCCATTCTAGCTTCTTTGGGCATGTTTCAACAGATGTGAATTCCCAAAAAAGAACATGAGGGAGGAGAGGAGGGGCCGGGCCCAGTAATCACAGCCTGTAATCACAGCACTGTGGGAGGCCGAGGTGGGCAGATCACATAAGGTCAGGACTTCAAGACCAGCCTGGCCAATATGGTGAAACCCTGTCTCTACTAAAAATATAAAAAGTAGCACGGTGTGGTGGCATGTGCCTGTAATCCCAGCTACCTGCTGAGGTAAGAGAATCACTTGAACCCAGAAGGCAGAGGTGGCAGTGAACTGAGCTTGTACCACTGCCCTCCAGCCTAGACGACAGAGTAAGACTCTGTCCCCCTGCCAAAAAAGAGGGAGGAGGGAAGCAGCGTGTAGAAAGGAAATACCTCGAAGGAGTTCCCAAACCTCTACCTTCCTGGGTCACTTCTGTTTTAAAACTTTGGTATACTCAGGAAAGAATGACCATCTATAGAATGTGCTTTTCTTGAAATCCACTTACTATTATTATTATTATTATTGTTTGAACTGGAATCTCACTCTGTCATCCAGGCTGGAGTGCAGTGGCATGATCTTGGCTCACTGCAACCTCCTCCTCCCAGGTTCAAGCAATTATCCTGCCTCAGCCACCCAAGGAGCTGGGATTACAGGCACCCACCACTACGCCTGTCTAATTTTTATATTTTTAGTAGAGATGGGGTTCGCCATGTTGACCAGGCTGGTCTTGAACTCCTGACCTCAGGTGATCCACCCGCCTTGGCCTCTCAAAGTGTTGGGAATACAAGCATGAGCCACTGCACCTTGCCCCACTTATTCTTACCACGAGCATTATATAATTTTGAATAAAAGTCGATTTTCCATAGTTTGATTTCAGTAAAATGCTTTCCAACTCTGTTTAGTATATTTATTATCAGTGCATTAGCAGAACGGCTTTTTATTGAAAAGTTACCGCCTCTGCCCTTTAACTTAGACTTAAAAAATTAAGTTAAAATGACTAGCCATGCTAGAAAAATTTTAAAAAACACAAAATCCCTGAAGAAATCAAGAAGGGATGGTAGCTCTGCTTACTTTACTCTTTTTTCCTCCCAAACATTTAGAAGTGTCTCCCTTAAATAAGAAGGGGTAATGGGCACTAGGAGAGACAAAGTGACTATAAAGGACCAGATCAAAATCAGAAGCCAAGTGCAGAAAAGACAGTGATGACACCTCCAACAGGGGAGAGGAACTATAAAAGGGCCCTTGGGCTAGGCATGGTGACTCACGCCTGTAATCCCAGCACTTTCGGAGGCCAAGGCGGGTAGATCACCTGAGGTCAGAAGTTTGAGATCAACTGAGCCAACATGGTGAAACCCTGTCTCTACTAAAAATACAAAAAGAAAAATTAGCCAGGCATGGTGGTGCATGCCTGTAATCTCAACTACTTGGGAGGCTGATGCAGGAGAATCAGTAGAACTCAGGAGGCAGAGGTTGCAGTGAGCCAAAACTATACCATTGCACTCCAGCCTGGGAAACAAGAGCAAAACTCTGTCACACACACACACACACACACACACACACACACACCCACCCACCCCCCTTAGGAGTCATCCTAAAGTTCCAACTAAATCAAAGTTTGAATATCTTCATCAGTTAAAAGAAAAAAAAATTAACTAAAGGTATTACCCCTTGGGAAGAAATGCTACCATGCATACGTCTTATATCACTGGGACATCTCAATACTGAAACCTCCACTTCAATTTAAATCTATACATCTAACTGAAGATACAGAACTATATTAACAATTTTAGGAGTTATCAGGAAATATTACTTACAGGGTTGTTTTTCAACTGCATCAATTATCTTTTCCAGTTTATCTTCAAGCTCAAATTCACTGATAGACTGAAGAGCTTCTGTGAGGTACTTAATAGCTTCACTAAGAAAAGGAAAGAAAAAATGAGGCAGGTCATTAGTAATTAAAGGCTAAAAGTTTTCTGCCAAAAAGCGGCAAACACTTATCAATCTGACATTTAAAGAAGGCACGACTAACTTCTCTCTTCAAGTAGTACTCATATTTCCTGTGCTTTCTGAACAAAACCATCCTACTATGCCATGCTAACATAAAGCCCCAAATCACATCCTTCCTCTAAGAAGCCTTCCTAGACCAGCTCTACCTGCTGCAATCTCCCCTTTCTTCTGAAACTGTTAAAAATTACATTTACATATACCTTAGATCTGATCTATCATATTAGCCTTGTATTACTTATTACCCTACATTTAAGGCAAGGGTCCATATGCCTCAATGTCAAGCACCATATCCTGACACTCAAATATTTATAACAGACACTCATATATTTAATTTGATAATGCATTTGTTCAAAGTAAATTCCAGTAATTTCATCACTGTTTTCAACTGTAAAATAAGAAAAACAAAGGCTTTAAAAAACTATGATATTAAAAGTGGGAAATGTCAACAGAAACATTTTTAAAAATAAAAAAAATAATTTTAAAAAACTATGATATTTGAATATAATCATAGAAGCAACACTCATATTAAAATCACATGAATTTTTGTTTTATGAAAGGAGAGGTTAGCACTCCCCTTGACAAAGATGGAAGAGGCTCTCAGGCCTGAAAATATGTATATGGTTAAGGCACTGCCACCTGCTTCATGGAGTCTGACAATCATAAAAAAAAATAAAATAAAATCACATTAATTCCTGACTTAAATGCTAATAATGCTCAGAAGGAACACTGTCTATTAGCTAGTTGCATGCCATTATGTATTTGTAGCACACAACTTTAAACCTCACATCAATATAATTGCTGATTACAATATTAAACAATTAGCTAATTACATGCCATTCTGGATTTGTAGCACACAACTTTACACTTCATATCAATATTATTGTTATACTCACCACACTAATTGTTCTATATTTATTTATTTTATTTTTATTTTATTTTTTTGAGACAGAGTCTTGCTCTGTCACCCAGGCTGAAGTGCAGTTGCACAATCTCAGCTCACTGCAACCTCAACCTCCTGGGTTCAAGCAATTCTCTGCCTCAGCCTCCCAAGAAGCTGGGATTACAGGCATCCATCACCACGCCCAGCTAGTTTTTGTATTTTTAGTAGAGACGGGGTTTCACCATCTTGGCGAAGCTAGTCTTGAACTCCTGACCTCGAGATCCACCCACCTCAGCCTCCCAAAGTGTTAGGATTACAGGCATGAGCCACCATGCCTGGTCTAACAGTTCTATATGTTAAGTTGCTTATTAGTTGTTTTGTGTATAGGTGTTGGATCTCTCCAATTTATTATAGATAACTGAGAACTAAGTTGTTATCTGTAACTTTAAAACTAAAGCTTAGACCTCTGTGCCATCCTTCTGCAGAGTCTAAATACACTTGAAGGTGGTCCATAAATATTTGACCACTGAGTCCCTAAAATCACATACATTTTGGGTGCATCATGGGACAGCTCTTAGCATACACCAAAGCCTATAAAGCCATACAGGGTCTTGCCCCTGCCAAATCCCATTAAGCTCATATCATGTCCCTGGCCTTCCTGGTGCTCTCCTCCTTCAGGGTCTTTATATGGCCATTTTCTCCCACTCTTCTCTCCACCTAGTCAGGTCCTGCTCATTCCTTTTTTGGGGGAAGTCGGGGGGATGAAGTCTGGCTCTGTCACCCAGGCTGGAGTGCAGTGGCGAGATCACAGCTCATTGCAAGCTCCACCTCCCAGGTTCAAGTGATTCTCCTGCTTCGGCCTCCTGAGTAGCAGGGATTACAGGCATGCACCACCAAGCCCAGCTAATTTTTTTTGCGGGGGTGGGGGGGTGTTCACCATGTTGGTCAGGCTGGTCTTGAATTCCTGACCTCATGATCTGCCCGCCTCAGCCTCCCAAAGTGCTGGGATTACAGGTGTGAGCCACTGTACCCGGCCAAGTCCTGCTTATTCTTTAACAGTCAGCCCAAACCACTTCTGCAGTGAAGCTTCTCCTTTACTCTAGAGCAGTTTTACACCTTATTATACACTCTCATAGCACTTCTTTCCTGGAATCCCTTTCACAATTGAGATTAAATAGCTGTGAAATAGTCATTTAATATACATGGTAGACAGAATTCTAAGATGGCCCCTAATAATCCCTGAGTCCTAGCAGTCACACCTATGTAATCCCCTGCCTTTAATTGTCATCTGGACCTAGTGACTTGCTTCTAAAAATAGAATAAAGAAAAAAGGATAGAATAACTTACTGTATTGTAATTTTGAAAGTAAAATTTTAAAGTAAAAACAAAAAATTTAAAAGTAACAAGATGTCATTTCCTTGATTAGGTACAAAAGATGGTAACTTCATAGTTGCTGGCGGACTCTCTTGATGAAGCCATGTTGGGAGCCCACATGGCAAGGGACTTAGGTAGTCTCCAGCCAATAGGCTGCAAGGCAACCAGGAACTGAATTCTGCCAACAGCTGAATGAGCTTGAAGCAAATGCTGCCGGATCAACAGTTGAGATGACCCATCTTGACTCCAACCTTGTGAAATGACCTTGAAGTTGAGAACCCAACTAAGCCACACCTGAATTCCTAACCCTAAGAAAATGTGAGATAAATGTGTACTGTTTTAGCCTCTAAGTTGTGGGGTAATTTGTTACGCAGCAGTAGAATACACTATCTGCCCTCTACAAAGCTCCAGTGTCTTGCTCTCTTGCACCCACTTGCCCCAGCAGTGTTTTGCGGCTAATAGACTTAAGTATACTTATGACTGATATAATTAATGAACAAAAGCATAAACTTAGGTCAAATTCTAAGTGAAAAGACAGTTAATTCATCAGCTGCTCATAGTTGCAAATGTCAAGGACCAAGTGAACAAAATTCATTACTTTCCCCCAAGGCATATCCACTACTAACCCAAAAGCACAGTTAAAAGTCCCATAAAACTCATAATTACAAAAACCAACCAAAAATCTACACATACAAGAGCAATCAAAACTGATACAGAGAGGTATATCCAGTCCAGCAGGTATTTGAATATGTATAAAATATTGTATTCTAGGCCAGGCGTGGTGGTTCACGCCTGTAATCCCAGCATTCTCGGAGGCCAGAGGGAGGATTACTTGAGCCCAGGAGTTCAAGATCAGGCTGGGCAACATAGCCAGACCCCCGTCTCTACAAAAAAATACAACAAAAGTCAGCCAGGTATGGTGGCGCACGCCTGTAGTCCCAGCAGGTTGAGCCCAGGAGGTTGGGCCTGCAGGAAGTTGAGGCTGCAGTAAGTCAGGTCCGCACCATTGCCCTCCAGCTTGGACGAGAGTGAGACCGTGTCTCAAAAAAAAAAAAAGTATATACACACACACACAGAACTCTAAAAAAACGGAGCAGATTTATTGAGAGAAATCTTGGAAAAGTTCATATGTTCTATAGGTCCTCAAAACCACGGATACGCCCAGGAAACCTGACTTTCATATAAACTGGCAACTGCAGACATGCAAGTGGGCTTTCTCGGGTCTCTTATCTGATGTCTCAGCAACCTCCTTGGGAGCCTGAGAGCTGCCCAGGTCACAATGCTGATAACTGGCGGCCACAGACACGCTGCGGCTTCTCGGGGTCAGTTTGACATGTACAGAGGAGCCTCGGTCTGCCTAGAAGAAACATTTAAATTCCTCGCGTGCGTCGGGGAAACCAAAGAAGGCATGGCAGCCTCAAGATCCATCTCGCTTCTTAGAACATTTGAAGGGTGTCTGTCATTTAAGGTCAAGCCCTCTCTCGGCACGCGGGGAGCCGCCGCGGTGCGTCCCGCTGCCCCACGCGGCGGTCGGGTCCCGGCTCTTCCCTCTCGCCCCTCAAGCTGCCCGAGCCCACTCACCCCCGGAGCAGCAAGCCCCGCAACTTGAAGGCGGAGAGCGCCCGGCTCCGCAACCGCTCCGGCGCCATATTCGCCATTTGGCGCCACCACCTCAGCTCCGCCTCTTCCCGGGCGTGCCCCGGCCCCGGCTCGGGGCGCTATTAGACCTCTGATTGGTCCCCGCTGCCTGCGCCCCCAGCAACGCGGACCTACCAGTTCGCAGCCCCGGACCGGGTTGGCTGAAAGTGGTGAGCGCCTGGCGCTCCTTTGCTGCAGGGAAACTGAGGGCCAGAGCGTTTTCCCTGGTGTCGGGCTGGGAATGTGCTTCCCTTACCCCAAGTGCATCGTTGAGCTGCAGCGCTCTCACCGCTGCCCCGACCGCGGCCGGGCTTCCCTGACGCAGGATCCCTCTTCTTTCGAGCTGTGAGAGCTGTTGGGTTCCCTACTTCGCGCAATCTCTGGAAATTCTGTGCCTTGACACTTACTGGAAGCTGTTATAAATCTCCATCGCTCCCACTAGACCGATTTTTATTTAACTTGAGGGCTTTGTATGCGCCATGCACTGTCATAAGTGCTTTTTTTTTTTTTTTGAGACGAAGTGTCTTGTCGCCCAGGCTGGAGTGCAGTGGCGCAGTCCCGGCTCACTGCAGCCTCCGCCTCCCGGGTTCAAGTCATTCTCCTGCCTCAGCCTCCCAAGTAGCTGGGACTACAGGCGCCGGCCACCACGCCCAACTAAGTGTTTGTATTTTTTCTTTTTTTTTTTTTTTTTTTTTTTTTTTTAGTAGAAATGGGGTTTCACTATGTTGGTCAGGCTGGTCTCAAACTCCTGACCTCGTGATCCGCCCGCTTCCGAGTCCCAAAGTGCTGGGATTACAGGCATGAGCCACCGCTCCTGGCTCATAAGCGCTTTAAATGTGTGAACTGATGTGTTGTCCATGACAGCCGAAAGAGCTGTGTGCTGTCTTTTCCACAACAGTCCCATTTCACAGATGAGAAAACTGAGACACAAAAATGGCAAAGGGCTCGCTCAAGATGAAACGAAGAGTTAAGTGGTGGAGTCACGATTTGAACTCAGTTATTCTGATTCCAAGTGGACTGTCCATCTGCCACACTTGAAAACGCTTGCTCCAATGAGTTGACTAAACCACGGAGTGCTTATAACTAAACACGCAGCTTATAAAACATGAGGATGATTTCACAGTACCAATATATAGTGACCTCCAAAGTATAGTGTTTTTCTTTTTTTCAAAAGAGCAAAGTCTAATAAAGGAAGGGAAACAAGAATATATGTATTTTTGCATTTTAAAAAACCTCTGGGGGCCCGGGCACAGTGGCTCACATCTGTAATCCCAGAACTTTGGGAGGCCGAGGCTGGCAGATCACTTGAGGCCAAGAGTTTGAGACCAGCCACACCAACATGGTGAAACCCCATCTCTACCAAAACAAAACAAAACAAAAATTAGCCGGGCATGGTGGTGCGCCTGTAATCCCAGCTCCTGGGGAGGCTGAGGCAGGAGAATTGCTTTAGCCTGGGAGGCGGAGGTTACAGTGAGCTGAGATCCTGCCACCACTCCAGCCTGGGCAACAAATCGAGACTGTCTCGAAAACAACAACAACAACAACTCCAGAAGGTTAAACCAGAGACTACAAAAGTGATTAACTGTAAAGGGATGAGGAGGATAGGGATGAAAGTGAAGTGTTTCTTTACAGTGAGACTTTTAATCTATTTGTATGTTTTACATATTCAAACAACAGAAAAGAAAAAGGGGAGCTTAAAATTGAAAGCATGCGAAGCCAGGCGTGGTGGCTCATGCCTGTAATCCCAGCTCTTTGGGAGGCCAAGGCGGGCAGA